CATTTGCGTGCCCGTATGCTGGACACCACCACGGGGCGGGCGGCAGGGACGGCGGGGACTGACCTCCGCCCTTGCCTCCGCCCTTGCCTCTGGCCTGCCACGCCATCGCGCTCTGGTGCGTCGCCAAGCACCTCGCCGCACTCGCTATGCGAAGAACAAGTCGAGGTTGAGCGCGCTGAGCACGAGCACGCCTGTGCCAGGCCGGCTCGCTGCCGCCGCCGCTAGGCCGCGGGCGTGAGCGGGGGCTGCGGGACACCCGCGGCGTGCCGCCAGCAGCGGGGCGCCAGGCGCGAGAACCGCCAGGCACGCCGGGAGCAGCGCGAGGCGCGGCGGGGCCCCGACCGCCCGATGCGCGGGCGCGGGCCAACGCGCGTGGCTGCCAGCCGCGAGAGAGGTTCGCTGTACCTGGTACAGCGCCCGAAGCCTCTCGAACCGGGGCGGCAGCTCACGAGGAGGGAGGAGGGAGGAGAACGCGGGCAGGAGCTGGAAGGGAAGGAGCGAGGGGAACAGGAGGACCAGGGGAAGGCGGAGGAGGGGAAAAATGAGGGGGCGACAGCGATGAAAGAGGCATCAGATCCAGCAATGTGGCCCTCCCTGGGGCGAGAGCGCCATTCTTAACGACGGATCCAAAGCGCCGATCCGAAAATTAGGCATACGCTGCAGCGGAAGCACCACTGTGAAGCACCGAAAACCATCGAACTCTAAACAAAAGACATGTGTTGGAATCCTGTGTTAACAAGCGTACGCGGAGAGGACCGAGCATCTTCAGGACTGGGTCAGGGGAGAGAGAATCACATTCTTAATATGTGTTTGCAAAAATTGTAGGAGGAGGAGGAGGAGTATGTAAAAGAGAGAAGGAGGAGGAGGAGGAGGAGGAGGAGGAAGAGGAAGAAGAGGAAGAAACGAACCATAGTAAACCCTATATGCATCAACGCTATTGCAATACATCCTCCCGTCTCAAGTCCCCTCATTAGTGTCTACGATTATTCCTTTTCACTAACAAAGAGCACCCCTTTGCGTCTGCAATTCAGACGAGAGGCTGCCTTGCTAGGAGTTCATTCAGAAGGAATGATCATACAGTTCAGCGAGGTGCCCAGCTGATCACTGCTCATGCGTAACAGTTGCACAAGTTTACACGTACTGTTACAAAGGTCAAGGGAGCCTCAAGCGAGAGGCGCTTGTTTTAAAATATTCCCCCTCCGTACGTGCAGCTGTTACATATGTGTGACACGATTGTGCGCCGCGCTGGGGCGAGAGACCCATGCTTAAAAGAACTGCAATCCAATATTGTAACTGCTGCAACCGTTTCAAAGTGAATTTGCAGCGGCGGTAACCCCGTTCTGAGAGCCACCAGCCCTCCACCGTTGTCTGTGTTGCAAGATTTCGAAGCACACGTGAGGAGAGCGAAAGCGTGAGCTCCATCAAAAAACACCACCTTCCACCCTTGCAACTGCTGCAAGCTGTGAGCACGAACATACGCGGGAGTTCGGGGGAGGGGGAGGAGGAGGAGGAGGAGGAGGAGGAGGAGGAGGAGGAGGAGAGGAGGAGGAGAGGAGGAGGAGGAGAGGAGGAGGAGGAGGCAAAATCGCGAGAGCCATGTTGAAAACGACCCCCCTCGTCCGTGTAACCGACACTGCAGCAGGATCCTACTTTTTGAGAGCCTCTCAGGCGCAGTGCTCGGCTCCGCCCTGCTGACACGACAGGGAGGAGTAAGGAAAAGGCACGGAGGGGTGAGGAGGAGGGGAAGGAGGAGGAGGAGGAAGAGGAGGGGGGAGGGAGGAGGGAGGGAGAGGAAAGGGAGGAGATGAGGGGACGCCTAAGGGGAGGAGAAAGAGGAGGTCTGGAGGGCGGGGGACGATGGAGGGGGAGGGGCAGGGGGGGAGAAAGAGAGGAGGGGTAGATGGAGGAATGTGGAGGCGAGGGGGGACCACGTCTGGCTGGAAAAGCCGCCGGCCCTCTAGGGGGCGCGACGCCGTGAATTCTCGTGGTGGAACCCTGCCTGTCTCCTGTCGTCTGTCTGCTGTCTCCTGTCTCCTGCCTCCTCCTCCTCCTCCTCCTCCTCCTCCTCCTCCTCCTCCTCCTCCTCCTCCTCCTCCTCCTCCTGGCTCCTGTCTCCTGTCTCCTGTCTCCTGTCTCCTGTCCCCTGCCTCCTGCCTCCTGCCTCCTCCTCCTTCTCCTCCTCCTGTCTTCTCTCTGCCGTCTGGTGAGGAAATGCCACGCCGCACCCCAACACCTTGAAACTCTGCGGGCGCGCGCCTCCGCCTCCCCTGCTCGGGCTGCCGCAGGACTCCCGCGGGGACGTCACCGGGCAGCCGAGAGCCCGAGGAGAGTCGAAGACGGCCCCAAAACCCAGACCCCTCGATTCATGACAAAATCACGACGAAAGGTTATTGTTTGATTTTCTCGGCGGCGAGCCAGGGGGGGGAAGTGAGAAGGAGAAGGCCTTCTCAGAAGGTTCGGAAGTCCCCCGGCCTTCTGAGTTTTTCCCTACCTATCTGCCTAGAGGTTTCTTACTCGCTGGGCTTAAAGGGGCCGGGCAGTGTTCCTCGCCCCGGGCGGTTCCCCCAGTATCCGCCCCGCGGTTCCCCCAGTTGCGCCCCCTGGGCTTAAAAGGGCCGGGCAGTGTTCCTCGCCCTGGGCGGTTCCCCCAGTATCCGCCCCGCAGTTCCTCCAGTTGCGCCCCCTTAGCTTAGCTTTGCTTATCTCATCTTAGTTTATCCTAGCTTAACTTAGATTAGTTTACCTTAGCTTAGCCTAGCCTAGTTTAGCTTTGCTTAGCTTAGCTTAGCTTAGCCTAGCCTAGCCCAGCCTAGCTTAGTTTAGCTTAGCTTAGCTTAGCTCAGCTTAGCTTAGTTTAGCTTAGCTTAGCGCAGCGCAGCATTAGCATAGCATCGCATAGCATAGCATGGCATAGCATAGCGCAGCATAGCACAGCGCAGCATAGCATAGCATAGCATAGCATCGCATAGCGCAGCATAGCATAGCATCTCATAGCATAGCTTAGCTTAGCATAGCACAGCGCAGCATAGCATAGCATAGCATAGCGCAGCATAGAATAGCATAGTATAGCATAGTATATCATAGCGCAGCATAGCATAGCATAGCATAGCATAGCATAGCGCAGCATAGCATAGCATAGCATAGCATAGCATAGCGCAGCATTGCATATCATAGCATAGTCTAGCATAACATAGCATAGCGCAGCATAGCATAGCATAGCATAGCATAGTATAGCGAAGCATAGCATAGCATGGCATAGCATAGCGCAGCATGGCATTGCATAGCATAGCCTAGCATAACATAGCGCAGCCTATCATACCCTATCATAGCATAGCATAGCGCAGCATAGCATAGCATAGCGCAGCATAGCATAGCATAGCATAGCATAGCGCAGCATATGATAGTATAGCATAGCATAGCATCAAAGCAAAGGCAAAGCAACAGCAGCAACAGCAAAGCAAAGCACAAGCAACGCAAAGCTCATCTACACCTACCTAGATGTAGATGTAGATGTTGCTTTCCTAACTGCTACAACTGCGACGATGAGGAGAAGGAGGACGGCGTTTACCGTTACTACTAATATTGCTCTTCTCGGGGCTCCAACTCCTAGGTAGGGTCGCTCTGGGATCATTTAAGCCTTCCCCGAAGACAAAAAAAACTTCTCAAAGGCGCGATGGCTTCTGAGAAGTCCCGCCGCCTTCTGAGAAGGCCTTCTCCTTCTCATTTCCCCCCTTCGCTCGCCGCCGATTTTCAGCCTTGCCGGGCCTCGGGACCGTCAACAAACGATTCGGGTTGAAGTTCCGGTCCTGGGGAGTGGGTCGAGACCTTGGAAGGTCGAAAGTTACTTATACTTATATAAGAAAAAACTGAGGTCGGGTGTCTAGCAATTAATTCGGAAGAAGGTCTCAACAGCACAAACGGCCGAAGGTGGTCCCAATGTGATGCCAGGATGGCCCAGGAGGGCCCCGAGGTCCCCAGAAAGGGCAAACGACATGGAAACACATTGTCTGGCCTCAACGCTTCAAGATGTCTCCCAAAAGCCGCCAAGGAAGTCCAAAAAACAATTTAGCCGCCACTCAAATCGCCCAGTGGATGGCCTAGCAGGGCCACGCTATTCCTTCCAAACGCCCCGCGGGACAGAAGGTCCCCCGAAATAGCCCGACGGCGGCCCGAGGCCCAAAGATGTACCGAAAAGCCACGCGATGGCCCCCAACCTGCCCCAATGCAGCTGCACGACGGCTCAGCTTGGAGGGCTGGCGGCAAAGGGCGCAGCCCTCGAGGTAAAAGCAATGAAGGGCTACGAAGGGATGGCAACCGCAGACCACCGACTTCGTGATGTTTTCATTACGTGCCCCCTGAAACCCTCGACCCACTGCTGGGAACGGGTCTATAATCCCAGATCGTGCGTGATGGTCCTGGGGCCCACAGGCCGCCGAATGAATGCAAACATTGAGCGCGGACCTTAGGTCGTTGATGATTTAGTGGCGGCCTTTCCAATGGGTCCGAAGAGATGCATTGGGAGAGTCGCGACGAATCGCCGAGGCATTGGCGACGCACCGGCGATGCATTGACACCGCGCCGTCGGCGTGGACAAAATCGGGCCCAATAACGAGCCGCATCGCCAACGCATCGGCGATGCGACGCGATCCTCCAACCCCGTCCATTCGAATCCCATTTGGGAGGTCCGTATGTTTGCCACTTATTCTTATTCCGTCGACCCTCGATTCTCGAACCTCGATGTCTGGAGCGGGTGAAGGCCGATGGTGGGCAGGCAAGACCTCACAGGGGGGAGGGAACACCGACCCGGAATGGGCGATACGTCGCCGATGCATCGGCGACGCGCCCTGGATAACGATAACCGCACGCTCCTGGGCGGCATGGGAAAGTCGGGCCCCCATCGGCTCCCCATGGGCAGTGGGGGGTCCATGCGTCCCCCCATGAGCCCATGCCTCCTCAGCGCTGCCGCTGTAAACCTCGGTGCCTGGGGGGCGGCGCGCGGCGGGGTCCTTCATGCCGGGGCAGAGGCAGGGCCCCTCCGCACCGAGGAGGCGTCCGCGAGGAGTTGCGGGGGGGACGCGGCGGCGGCGGCCCCCCACAGGATGGGCTCTCATTGGGACATGACTGCTGCGCGCGCGGCGCGTGGGCCGCCGCCTCCTCCTCCTCCTCATCCTCCTCCTCCTCCTCCTCCGCCTCCTCCTTCTCCTCCCCCTCCTCCTTCGCCTCCTCCTCCTCCTTCGCCTCCTCCTCCTCCTTCTCCTCCTACTCCTCCTCCTCATCATCACCCGCCTCCTTCTCGTATTCGTGGTCCTCCTCCTCCCCCTTTCCTCCTTCTCGTTTCTTATTATCATGCGTAGTACGATTACGAATATTAGTATTCATAGTACGATTAAAACTGCTGGAAACAATATGAATAATGTTACTCTAAATTATAAATCGGTATTACTAGCATTCCTGGTGTTGTTAGTGTTGTTATTATTGTCCAAATTATGATGAACTTATAGCATTAAGGAGTGTTAGTATTAGCAGTGGTGTCATTGTTAGTTCGTAAGTTTATTCCTGGAATTGTCAGTGGTATTACGATTATGTGTATCACTATTACTATTACTTGCATTAGTGGCATTATTCTTCGTATTCGTATTCGCATTTATTATTGGAATTTTTCTTACTTTCATTAGTACCGTTATGAGTAATAGTAGTGTTCATAGTGGAACTATGTATCGTACAATTATAAATATTAGTATTAGTAGTAGTAGTAGTAGTAGTAGTAGTAGTAGTAGTAGTGTTGGCATTAGTACTGTTTGTATGATTCGTATTGCTATTATGGTTATGATTAGGATTACTGACATTATTAGTAGCACTAGCATGCCATTGCTATTCTTTAAATTAGTACCGTCATTCTTTGCATTTTCTTATTAGTATTATTTATCCTCCTCCGAGGCTTCTTCTGTGTCCTCCTCCTTGTCCTCCTCCCCCTCCTCATCCTCCTCCTCTTCCTCCTCCTCGTCCTCCTCCTCCTCCTTCTCCTCCTTGTACTCCTCCTTCTCCTCCTCCTCCTTGTTCTCCTCCTTTTCCTCCTCCTCCTCCTCCTTCTCCTCTTCCTCCTCAGTTTCATCTCCTCGTCCTCCTCCTTTTCTTCCTCCCCGTCCTCCTCCACCTCATCATCAGCAGCATCATCAGCATCATCAGCATCATCACCATCAGCATCATCATCCTCATCATCATAGGCAGCAGCATCAGTATCATCATCGTCATCAGCATCAGCATCATCATCATCCTCATCCTCATCATCATCATCCTTTTCCTTCTCCTCCTCATCCTCCTCTTCCTCCTCTTCGCAATCCCACTCCTCCTCTGTGTTTGCATTTGCACTACCATTGTCCTTTGCTTTTAATGTTGGTAATATAGCCCGTAGTAGTGTTACGGTTATGTTTAGTATTCGCATTAGTAGTGGCAGTAGTAGTAGTAGTAGTAGCAGCAGTAGTAGTAGTAGTAGTAGTAGTAGTAGTAGTAACAGTAGTAGTAGTAGTAGTAGTAGTAGTAGTAGTGGTAGTATGCGTATCTGTGTTCTAGGAATGCTGGATACTTCTGAATAATAGCAGTACGATTGTGATTACGAACGTGTTAGCATTATGGCACACATAGAAATCTGTGTGTATGCATGACTGCTATCAGCAGTAGTGGTAGTAGTACGAATAATAAGATTAACACTACTGTTATACGGACCGCTAGATGTACGAGTATCACCACTATTGGTAGTGGTAGTACGACCGATCGTATATGCAGTAGTAGTAGCAGTGGCATGCCTAGTATGATTACTACTATGAAAAAGAATATGTAGGATCTAAGTTCTAGTATGGTTAGTACTACAAATAGTGATGTTGCTACTATTACGCGGCCATAGTATTATCCATACTGTTCGGTTATTACGATTAGTCGACTCAATAGTATTACCCTCAGTCGTCGTACTCTTCTTCTGTTTAGTGTTATCATTTGTATGAATACCAATGGTATTACCATTATGGATTGTCATAGTGTTCTTATTAACCGTGGCATCGTTACTAATATTCATCGTCGTACCATGCTCCGTGTTCGTATCCCTCCGTTTCCTCCTCCCCCTTCCCCCCCCCTCATTATCATCATCACCGTCCTCCTCGTCATCCTCCTCCCCTTCCTCCTCGTTCGCCTACTCATGTTCCTCTTCCGCGTCCCCCTCCTGCCCCGCCTCATCCCCCTCCTGTTTAGCTGCCCCGCATCTCCTCCTCCTCCTCCTCCTCCTCCTCCTCCTCCTCCTGCTCATCCTCCATATCCCCCTCCTCCCCCTCCTCCTCCTCCTCCTCCTGCTCCTGTTCGTCCTCCTCCGCCTCCTCCTCATCCTTCTCGTCCTCTTCTCTCCTCCTCCTCCTCCTCCTCCTCCTCCTCCTCCTCCTCCTCCTCCTCATCCCTCTCCTCCTCCTCATCCTCCTTTTCCGCATCCGCCTCCTCCTCATCCTCCTCCTCCTCATCGTCCACGTCCTCTTCCTCCTCCTCCTCCTCATCATGCCCCTCCTCCTCCTCCACTTTCTCCTCCTCATCCGCTTCTTCCTCCTCATCCTCTTCCTCCGCCTCCTCCTCCTCCTGCTCATCCTCCATCTCCTCCTCCTCCTCCTGCTCATCCTCCATCTCCTCCTCCTCCCCCTCCTCCTCCTCCTCCTCCTCCTCCTGCTCCTGTTCGTCCTCCTCCGCCTCCTCCTCCTCCGTCTCGTCCTCTTCCCCTCCTCCGCCTTCTCCTCCTCCTCCCTCCTCGTCCTCTTCCTCCTCCTCTCATTCTCCTCCCTCTCCTCATCCTCATCCTCCTTTTCCGCCTCCGCCTCCTCCTCCTCCTCCTCCTCATCTTCCACCTCCTCTTCCTCCTCCTCCTCCTCTTCCTCATCCTGCCCCTCCTCCTCCTCCGCTTTCTCCTCCTCATCCTATTCTGCCTCCTCATCCTCCTCCTCCGCCTCATCCTCCTTATCCTCCTCCTCCTCATCATCATCAGCATCATCATCCTCATCATCAGTATCGTCCCCCATGTTTCTTTTACTAGTATCATGTTTCTTTACATCAGCAGCAGCACCATCACCATCATCATCATCATCATCATCATCATCATCATCATCGTCATCATCATCATCATCATCATCATCATCATCATCATCAGCAGCATCATCATCATCATCATCAGCATCATCATCATCATCATCATCATCATCATCATCATCATCCGCAGCCGCAGCAGCATCAGCATCAGCATCAGCATCAGCATCATCATCATCATCATCATCATCATCATCATCATCATCGTCATCATCATCCTCATCCTCATCCTCATCCTCATCCTCATCATCATCATCATCATCATCATCAGCATCATCAGCATCATCATCGTCGTCAGCATTATCATCCTCATCAGCATCAGCATCATCATCGTCAGCATCATCATCATCATAATCATCATCATCATCCTCCCCATCATCGTCATCATTATCATCCACATCATCGTCAGCATCCTCATTCTCATCATCATCATCATCATCATTATCATCCTCGTCATCGTCATCGTCAGCATCATCATCATCATCAGCAGCATCATCATCACCACCACCACCATCACCGTCATCAGCATCAGCATCCAAAACATCGTCATCAACACCCTCGCCGCCACCACCACCACCATCATCATCAGCATCATCAGCATCATCATCACCATCAACATCATCATCATCATCATCATCATCATCATCATCATCATCATCCTCATCATCGTCAACATCACAAGCATCACCATCATATTACCATCACCATCACAATCATCGTCATCATCAGCATCAGCATCATCATCACTATCGCCATCGTACTCATCAGCAGCCACATCAGCAACATCATCATCATCATCATCATCATAACCATCATCAATCATCGTCAGCACCGTCATCGTCATCATCACCATCACCATCACCATCAGATACATCCTCATCTTCATCCGCATCATCATCATCAGCGTCATCATCATCATCAGCATTCTTAGTATCATCATCACCATCAGCAGCATCAGCATCATGATCAGCAGCATCATCATCATCATCATGTGCATCAGCAGCATCATCATCACAATCACCATCACCATCATCATCACCACCACCATCACCGTCAGCAGCCTCATCATCAAAAACAGCATCATCATTATCATCATCAGCATCATCGACAGCCGCAACAGCATCATCAGCATCGTCATCATCAGCATCATCATAATCATACTCATCAGCATCATCATCATCATCATCATCAGCATCATCAGCATCATCATCATCATCATCATCATCATCATCATCACCATCGTCAGCATCATCATCATCGCCATGGTCAGCGGCAGCATCATCACCATCAACATCAGCAAAAAGCATCTGCATCAGCACCAGCTGCAGCAGCAGCAATAATCGCATCATCATCATCAGCATCATCACCATCATCACAAGCGTCATCAGCAGCATCATCATCATCATCACCACCACCACCAGCATTGGTACCGCCCTCATCAACAACAACAACAACAACAACAGGATCATCACCACAACGACAACAACCATCATCGCCATTATCATCAACAACATCCTCATGATCAACATCATCATCATCGTCATCAACATCAGCGAGATCAGTATCAACACCATCAACGACAACCTCGCCATCATCACCATAATTTTTCACATCCGCATAAACATCATCATCATCGCCATCATCATCACCGTCATCAGAATCATCAGCACCATCACCACCGTCATCATCAGTATCATCATGAGCAGCATCATCATCATCAGCAACACCAGCATCACCATCATCGGCATTATCATAAACATCGTCATCATATCAAAAGAATTATCAGCATCATCATCAGTACCCCCTGATCCTCCTACTCGTCCTCTTCCCCCTCCTCCTCCTCCTTCCTCATTTTCCTACTCCTCGTCCTCCTTGTTCTCCTCATCCTCCCCATCATCCTCCTCCTCATATTCCTCCTCAT